AGATTTGCGTGGTTTTTTTTTGAGTTGCAAAATCCACTTGAACATGACGCTGCTTTTTTCGAAGTTTCTCAAGAACCATTCGAGCCAGATAATTCATTTTGGCATCGTTGGATAGAGAATTGAATGGGGGGGCATGACACACAACATTTGGAAAGTTCAATGTGTTTTTTCTCTTTAGCACATGTAGAGGAAGTCAAGTGTGACCCAGTGGTTGCATTACGCATTCATTATCGCTCCAGCCCGTATATTGCCGAGTCTACCGATGAAAAATCCGGTTATTAGCGCTTAGAATGATGAAAAATGTCCCTCAAAATTCGACTGACATACACGATTTTCTATTGGCACCCGAACATAAATCTAGCTGCGGGTTTGTGCCAACGATAAACTCCAACAGTGCTGTGCCGCATCGGGATTACACCGGCCAGGAAAACTGAAAACTCTGGATGGGATGCTGAAGCTGAGATCGTCAGTTTGTGGGACGCTTTTCCCGCGATCGGTCACACTTTTCATCGGCGCGATCGCAGTTTCGTAGCACGAGACGAGAAAAGTGTCTCATTTTTCATCCGGCGACTTTTCCTGCGAGGAAAGTTTGCACAACCATTACGGAAAGGAATAGTTGGAAGTTTCTCTTGCCACTAGTGATCGATCAACTTTGGAGGATGTGATTCTATTTCGCGATAGAATTCAAATTAAAGGTGCAGTGGTGATTTAGGAAACCCCCAAGTCGCGAACTTATGTAGTGTTTGTTGTAGTGGCCGTGCCTTTCTTAGGGACTAAATCCCTAAAATTCAGTAAATGTAGTGCAATTTTATTCTGGATTTCCTGATGAAATCAATGAGATGTTTTCAAGTATTCCTATGGCGTGAGTAGTTTTTCTGTATTTTTTTTGGAACAAAACTCGCAAGAGGCAAGGACGAGCTGGAAAAGTTGTTGAGGTTCCAACTTTAAGAAAAAATGGAATTTAAACCCGAAAACACTGGAAATGCAGATGCAGTTTAGGGGTTGAAAACGGTTTTTTGCGATTTGCGGCGAAACCTGATGAGTTGGGAACGTTTCCCCGATCTAAAACTTCTGTATTTACCACTTTTGGACATAAGCCCAAACTAACCGAAAAACGGGCAAAAAACCAATTTTTCAGTATTCAATTTTCCGCCCATAAACGATTCAATTCACATGAGGATCTGCAAAATCATGTCTTTTTCGGCGTTGAATAAGCATGAGTTTTTTGCAGTTCAGAGTACGCCTAAAAAACTGCTTTTTTCCACCATGAACATTCCCCAGATACTTTCTTGTATTCCACATTGGCTCAACCTTTCCCAGTCTGAAGAGTTTACACTCAGTGAAAAAATCTCATTTGTGTGCTAACGATTGATTTTCCGTTAAGTACGAACGTCGTTGCATCTGGAGAAAATCGTTTTCCATGCTTTTTCTGCACTTTAGGACAAATCGCTGCTTTTTCATGCTTGATCGGAACTTCCAGCTTAAATGATGGCCCCGAATCGGTCTTCGGCTGACAAGAAACAGAAGGAAAAGCATCAGCTAGACAACCAGGGGAAAAACGCTTGCAAGAAATACAATACCCGTTAAACTCCGTAAAGAAAAGAGTTAAACTCTGCTGCTGCTCAGTTACAGTCGCTTCATTATTTGCTAACAAGAGACGATTTGCTTTGTTTTGTTAAGTTCAGCTTTGATTGCGATTAGGTCGATAGCGATTTTGAGCTGGAGATTTGATGGAGGCGATGCTGAAAGCGGAGATGATCACATGAGCGGTTGTTAACTGAAGAAATCCTGGAAACTTCCAGAAATTTTCTCTTAACGTGCGTTTTTACACTCTTAAAGCAGGACATTTTCTCTTTTGAGTGATATTATTGAGCGGATTGTGGGATTTGGGGGCTGTCGGTTGTAAAATTTTTCAAAAAATTGTGTTTTTTAACTGCCAATCGCTTCGCCGATGCAACTGAAAAAATCCTGGAAACTCCCAGAAATTTCCGATTAAACTGATTTTTTCCTCACTTAAAGGAGCGGATTTTCGCTTTCATGTCATGTTGTATGCAGGATTTGGGGATTTTCCGTTTTTGCTTGACAAATTTTTGAAAAATCCGTGTTTCGGATCCTGGACAAAAATCCTTCAAAAAATCCTGGAAACTCTCAGAAAGATCCTACTAAACTTCGTTTTGCACACTTAAATAAGCGTATTTTATGTTTCCAGTGATTTTATAAGCCTGATTGTGGGATTTTTGGCTTTTTCTTGACTAATTCGTGGAAAATTTTGGTTTCGTGGAACACCCAATCGCCTGGCCTTCGTAACTGAAAAAAGACTGGAAACTCTTAGAAATTTCCCTTTAAAGTGGGGTTTTCCTCACTTAACGCCGTGGACTTTCCCTTTCGAGTTTCATTATACGGAAAATTGACAAATTTTTGGTGTGGCAAATTTTTGAAAAATCCGTATTGTTCAACGACTAATCGCTTCGATTTAGCATGTCAAAAATCCTGGAAAATCTTAGAAAGTTCCTATTAAAGTGAGCTTTTCCTCATTTAAAACCGCATTTTTGCTCGTTCGAGTGATCTTTCGGGCAGGCTTGAGAAATTTTTGGTTTTTCCTTGACATTAAAAAAAAATAGTCTATCTATACCAAGTCCAATCGCTTCCCCTTAGTAACTGAAAAAATCCTGAAAACTCCCAGAAATTTCCTATTAAAGTGAGATTTTCCTCATTTAAAGCCGCAGATTTGTTCTTTCGAGTGATGTTATGCACCGCATTCAGGAATTTTTGGTTTTTCCATCGCAAATTTTTGAAAAATCCGTGTTGTTCAAAAATCAATCGCTTCGATTTAGTGTCTGAAAAATCCTGAAAACTCTCAGAAATTTCCTATTAAAGTGAGATTTTCCCCACTTAAAGCCGCAGATTTGTTCTTTCGAGTGATGTTATGGACCGCTTTCACGAATTTTTGGTTTTTTCATGGCAAATTTTTGAAAAATCCGTGTTGTTCAAAAACCAATCGCTTCGATTTAGTGTCTGAAAAATCCTGAAAAGTCCTAGAAATTTCCTATTAAAGTGAGATTTTCCTCGTTTAAAGCCGCAGATTTGTTCTTTCGAGTGATGTTATGGATCGCATTCAGGAATTTTTGGATTTTCCAAGGCAAATTTTTGAAAAATCCGTGTTGTTCAAAAACCAATCGCTTCGATTTAGGGTCTGAAAAATCCTGAAAACTCCCAGAAATTTCCTATTAAAGTGAGATTTTCCCCACTTAAAGCCGCCGATTTTTTCTTTTGAGTGATGTTATGGACCGCTTCCACGAATTTTTGGTTTTTCCATGGCAAATTTTTGAAAAATCCGTGTTGTTCAAAAAACAATCGCTTCGATTTAGTGTCTGAAAAATCCTGAAAAGTCCTAGAAATTTGCTATTAAAGTGAGATTTTCCTCATTTAAAGCCGCAGATTTGTTCTTTCGAGTGATGTTATGGATAGCATTCAGGAATTTTTGGATTTTCCATGGCAAATTTTTGAAAAATCCGTGTTGTTCAAAAACCAATCGCTTCGATTTAGATTTTAGAAAAATCCTGAAAACTCCCAGAAATTTCCTATTAAAGTGAGATTTTCCCCACTTAAAGCCGCAGATTTTTTCTTTTGAGTGATGTTATGGACCGCTTTCACGAATTTTTGGTTTTCCCATGGCAAATTTTTGAAAAATCCGTGTTGTTCAAAAACCAATCGCTTCGATTTAGTGTCTGAAAAATCCTGAAAACTCCCAGAAATTTCCTATTAAAGTGAGATTTTCCCCACTTAAAGCCGCAGATTTTTTCTTTCGAGTGATGTGATGGACCGCATTCATGAATTTTTGCTTTTTGCATGACAAATTTTTTAAAAATCCGAGTTGTTCAAAAATCAACCGCTACGATTAAGCATCTGAAGAAATCCCGAAAATTTCCACAAATTTCCTACGAAAATTAGGTTTTCCTCATTTAAAGCGACAGATTTTATCTTTCGAGTCATGTTCTGGGCCGTATTGAGATAATTTTGGTTCTTCCTTGGCGAATTTTTGAAAAGTCCGTGTTGTTCAACGACCGATCGCTTTGACTTATTAACTGAAACAATACTGGAACCTCCCAGAAATTTCCTATTAAAGTGAGGTTTTCCTGATTCAAAGCCGCATATTTCCTCTTTCGAGTGATATTTCGGGCAGGCTTGAGAGATTTTTGATTTTTCCTCGAAAATGTTGATAGATTTTCGCCCTCAAAAATTACGATTTTCTTCCTCAAAAATTACGATTTTCTCCCAAAAAATTGAGAGTTTAGTTTATTTAAAAAACCGACATCAAGAGGCATAATCAAGGCTTAATTACTTCGAGGCAAAGCTCTAGGCATTTTCACCCAACCCACTAATAGATGCATTTTTGCTTGAGTTTTACCGAAATAATCCTAATGATTATCGAGTCATTTTCAAAAGCATGCGAATTTGTACAGTAAAAAGATGGGCTCTTTTGGGTCAATTCGTTGATATTTTTCTGGCTAAAGCGCCTATCGACTGAATTTGAGCAAATGCAGCCCGAACAGAGTTTATGTTTGAAAACCGCTTGGGTTTGGGGCGCTCTTAATAACAGCAAATTTAGTTCCGGGAACTGCGATTTTTGGGCCAAATTCCCAATTCCGATCTGCAACCGAGAGTAACAAACATAAAAACGAATGGAAATGTTAAGCTGCACATTGAAGTCAATCCTTTTTTTTTATTTGAAGCTTTGGCTCGAACTGGTGGAACTTTCGCCCATCATTTCTTTCATTTGCAATTTAATATTTTCTGAACAATTTTATCGCATGGCCAATTTGTGTTCGAGCCATTAGACATTTTGCGATTTGCTTTTCTGCATCAGCGAGCCCAACAGTTGGTCGATTTCCTCCTGTTTTTCTATCGTCATTTTGGGGGATACACTATGAAAATAATACGCAGTAAACCTGCAAAAATCAAGGATTTTGCACTTATTTAAGGGCTTAAGGTACCTAATAAAAATGTCCATTATACATAATTTCACAAGCGTTATGTTGTTCATATTGTGGAAATAAAGCGGTTTTCAGTTCGGTTTCCTGTAATCCATTGTGTGTTTTTTCTAATTGGCGCTGCTCGATATTTTGCGGTAAATTTCAATTTCCGCAATTATCAGAATTTAATAAACGAGCCGATGGATGTTTATTTTTAAAATTTTCCCGTTTTGCATAGCCAGAGTTGTTGGTCGGAATGGAATTTCTGAAATCATACCTCAGCGTATTGGCGAAGCGAGAAAACTTTGCATTTTTCAATAATACACATTTTGGCAGGGGATTTAAGGCACAGAATGATCAAAAGTTTGAGGCGCCCAGATAGATTCGGCCGGGATATCGGGAAAAATTCGTTTAAATCAATTTTGCATCTCTGGTGTGTAAAGATCAACTGGCTGTTCAATGGCTTAAAAAAATTGCTTTCTACTGCTTGTCTGAGTCACTGTCCTTTCATTTCTTTTGTACTAAAATTAGTTCTTCAAATCGCTCCTGTTGAACAATCCCGAGCAAATTATGCGCGCTTCTTTTCTGTTCAATTCGTTCGAATTATCCACTGCTTGTTTCTTGGCATGTCGTCAAAAGTATCTGATGATGCAAGCTTATTTTTAACATCAGGCCGGCGTTCCTTCAATTTTTCTTTCACTCGACTGTGGTCTGTGAACTTG